CACCACGTGCATGGCATTTGCTAACTCTGAGTAGTGGAAAATGATCCACTGACAGAGTTATTTTATTAGAATGCTTCACAAGTCCTTTAAAGTTTAATAACGCCTAAATTCAAGTGGCCAACTTTTTGATAAAATGAGCGGAAATGCGCATACCTTATGATATTTTAAAGGTTTGACGGATATCTCGTTCAACAACTTCTAATTAATTTATTCTCGCGTACCAAAGACAAAGCAAAAGCCAATAATTGATCGTCCAAACTAAGAGATATATTTAGGAACCAAAACAAGCCGTTAGACGAACGCTTAGCTAGCTAGTGATCGTGCACGTGACACGACGAGGTACCAAATGGCGGGGATGCTTGACCGGAAGCCTTCAGCTAAACAAGTCGACTTAAACAGTGGTGGTCAGCATCCAATGAGTGATTGCTGTGGTCAATAATTTTGGGGAATTATTTACCGCTACAGCTCACTCTCCCCCCTAGTGGGGTCGTGAGGACCCTAAGACAGAACCAGCCGGAAGTAAAAAAACTCGATGGTTCCCTTTCGGGTGAAAAAAATCTTCCGAGCGGCTTGGTCGTATGCCTACTGGTTTGTCTGCCTATGCTAATAGGGTGTTTGTACATAGCTTCCTTGTTGTTGTTCGTTGGATTCCGTGCTTCGTTTGTTTCCTGTCCAGTGCCCGTCGCACCTGGAAAAGAAAACAAGAACGCTAAGAACCATGTCGAGGAAAATGTACGAAATGAGCTTTTTGGTTTAAAAAAAATGTGTGCATTTACTATACAGTAAAATAATGCTAAGTTCAGAACATCGAAAAAAAAAATCTAATTAATTTTTTGTGTATGTTACATGAACTGTTGAAAAAAAATTTTTTGTGTTCGGTGGTACTGTATATAAAAAAAATTATACGTCAAAAAAAATAGTTAGTACCACAAACGAGTGAGTTGCGTGAATCACACGACTTCGTTAAGTCAAATAAGTGTGCAGATATTCTGGGAACCTTACGGTGCGTCCAGAACGGTTTTTCTTAGGAGGCTCAACCTTAGTAGCCAGTGGGCGAATGCCCTTGCAGTCAATAGTGTGACCCAGGAAGTCGAGTGAGTCAACACCGATTTGACACTTTTGAATATTATGGTAACACCATGTTGGCGTAACCTGTCAAATGCCAAGTCCAAGTGCCTAAGGTGAGTTTCCTTGTCTGGACTGGCAATGAGGCAGTCGTCTAAGTATGCGTATACAAAGTCGAGACCGCGAAATACTTCGTCAATGAAGCGTTGGAATGTTTGGGCTGCATTCCGAGACCGAATGGCATACGTAGAAATTCAAAAAGTCCGAAAGGCGTAATGATAGCCGTTTTCGGGATATCTTCTGTTGCCATCGGGATTTGGTTATACGCTTTAACCAAGTCGATTTTGGAGAATATAGTCGCGCCGGATAAGGTTGCCGTCAAGTCGTGTATATGAGGCAACGGGTAGCAATCAGGGGTTGTTTTGGCATTCACTCGCCGGTAATCACCGGTGGGTCGCCAATCGTTGCTATCCTTTTTCGGAACCATATGAAGTGGGGATGCCCATGGGCTATTCGAAGGTCGAATGATGCCAAGGCTAAGCATATGGTCAAATTCATTCCTGGCGATTCTCAGTTTGTCAGGAGCTAATCGTCGTGCTTTAGATGTCACAGGTTGTCCTGTGGTAATGATGTGGTGCATAACATTGCTGGTTATGCACGGTAGGTCGTTCGACGGGCAGTTAAGTTCCGGATACTTGTCAACGATAGGTTGAAAAGTTGGATCAAGGATTGCCTTTATCTTAACGGGTGACAAGCTAGGGCCTATGTAGGTGATGCCTTTGATAGACAGACTAGTAGTATTGTCAATCAGTCGTTTTCGGCGGACGTCTACGAGTAAATCATGATGATTAAGTAGGTCCGTGCCAATGATGGGCATTGTAACGTCAGCGAGAAGGAAAATCCACCGAATAGGTTTGCGTAAACCTACGTTCAGATAGACGTATTTCCTACCAAAGGTTGCGATTGGTTTTCCATTTGCAGCCTGTAAGTTGAAGGTAGGTTCCTTCTGTCGATCTGCTGCTGTAGCAGGAAGGACGCTGACTTCGGCGCCTGTGTCGACTAAGTATCGAGTCTGGCTTATCACATCATGGATGTAAAGTAGGCGGCTAGTGCCACCGGCGACGGTTGCCGCTAACGCGTGCCGGCGGGATAGTTTCCCGCAGACTTTGAGACATTTCCGAAGTTACAAGGCTTACGGCAACACTTCGCTTCTTGGCCATAGGTGTTGTGGTACCAGCACCAGTCAGGGTTTTTCAGTGAACGTGGTTTGGACTTAGATCGACCACGTGAGTTCCTGCGTTGAGGAGATTTAGGACGACGGTCGGAGGAGTTAGAATGCATGTTTGACCTAAACATCTGCTGGATGGAGTTGCATAACTCTATCATTGCAGGATCCTTACTCGAAGTCTGCTTAGTCATCGAGCATATTTCGGGAACAGACCGTTTAGTTATTTCTAGAATCCTATCTGCAGTAATAGCTAAGTCCTCTATTACAGTACCCTGAAGTGTCACAAGTACGGTCTGTACAGACTGTGGCAACTTGGTTAAGAAGAGTTCTCTAAACAGTCCTTCGTCGAACTGACTTTGGCCGACGACTTCTTTCATTCTTGTCAGCATGCTCACGGCTGACTGATCTCCTAACTCGATGTTGCGAAATAATTCATCTAGACGTTGTCTGTCCGTGAGAGCGTTTCTCCTGAGGAGGGATGCTTTCAGCAACTCGTACGAGTTACTTACCTCGGGACTCAACATCTGTGATGTTACGTACTTGCTGAATTCCCGCGGTAGGGCGTGAATAACTGCAAGTAACTGTGAACGTTGATCGGTTATCCCATGCTCACAAAAATCTGCTTCAGCTAGCAGAAACCACGTTTCAGCATTATCTGGCCAGTATGGTACGAGCTGAATGGTTTTAGGAGTTGAGCGGATACGGATGACCTTGGGACTAAGATCACTCATGACGAAAATTATGTCGAATAATATATGGTACAAGAACAAATACAAAATGGAACGAACTCACCGGGGTTATCTGCGGATTTATCGTAGATGAAGTTCGCGGTTGGGCTCACCAGTTTAAAGGTTTGACGGATATCTCGTTCAACAACTTCTAATTAATTTATTCTCGCGTACCAAAGACAAAGCAAAAGCCAATAATTGATCGTCCAAACCAAGAGATATATTTAGGAACCAAAACAAGCCGTTAGACGAACGCTTAGCTAGCTAGTGATCGTGCACGTGACACGACGAGGTACCAAATGGCGGGGATGCTTGACCGGAAGCCTTCAGCTAAACAAGTCGACTTAAACAGTGGTGGTCAGCATCCAATGAGTGATTGCTGTGGTCAATAATTTTGGGGAATTGTTTACCGCTACAATATCAACGCCATGATTACAACTACCCACGCCACAGAAACCAGTGAAATGTACTAATATCTTCGCCGGGAATGATGGCTTAGGAAAACAGTCACACACATTTAATGAATGCACACACGACACGATACGTACCAAGGAAGATCATCGAAATCATCACCAGTGATAAGCTAAGACCTGTTGGAACCAAAAATTTAGGAAGTTGCTCATGTGGGATAACACGAATATCGATGGGATGAAAACCTCCCGCTACTCAGTTTGGGCGACTTTAAAAAGGGTGATTATACTGAGGGATATTAATCGATATAAATGCTGCTAAGAATGCATGTAAGTTGCCGAACTATTGCTAAATAAGTCGGACAGGTAAAGATGGATCGGTTCTCTCATGGTTGTAGGATCACCTGGCTGAAAAGAAATCCTGCACTAAGGTCAGTCGAGTCCGAACATCTTAGCACAGCTTGTCATCAGGAATATCGCAGGGCTCTACCCTAGGGTCACTGATGTTTTTAATTTTTATCAATGAACCATCATGCCTTCTAAGCTGTCCAACTCTTCTTTACGCAGACCATATAGAGATATGGGTAGCAATAAGGTGTTTGGAGAACTCGTATAGGCTCCAGGCAAACCTGAAGCTTCTAGAAGACTGGGTAATGGCCAGTGGGATAACTTTCAAACTGAAAAAGTGCAAAGTAGTGAAATTACGCACCTGTACGCTGAAAAATGCAGTCTATTTAGTGAAGGCATATGCGTTCATTCAATTAACCCATAGACAGCTAGGTGCACCCACTCCTGAGCTCTCTCTAGTGTTTTCAAAACATACATCAGACAACATCTTGAAGTACATTATATTATTGCACCCCCACTGCTTAGAAAAGACGCCAACCTCTTGAAGAGAGTCCGAAGACGGGCATTGAAAGGATTTGTTGGTCCCGACACAAACCATATGATGAAAGGCTGAAGAAATTACGCCTATTTTACACTTAGCTACCGTCGACTTAGTGGGGGAATTAGATTACTCCCTACAAGATAACAAAAGACCAGAATCACCCAAATAAAAGTGTTCTACCACTGAGTAGGTTTAGGCTTCTTCGTGGAAATCCCGGGAGTATAGCTAACAAGAGGGCTTGGACCTGAATGCGCTCTCACTTCTTTTTACTGCGAATTTGCCGTCCCTGGAAATCCTAACCAGCAGATGTAGCTATGACACCGTCTGTGGACAGCTTTAAAAGAAGGCTGGAAAATCATGCAGACACACAAGGACTACACCCGAATGGTCTTTCTCCTTAAAATCTCATACACTACTAATGGATGGGCATCTAAATCCGTCGTTTCAGTACTTTACATTCTCTCCTGTCTTACTCTTCTGACTACTCCATCTACTACAAACGTCACTTGTGATTTTTGCAGTCTGCTGCACCACAAAGCAATAGAGTGATAACAAAAGAACTAAAGAGATTACCTTTAGTTAATAAATTCCTTTTTACTGTACAGAAATCATTGTTTTCATTTTCATGGTAAACTGTTTTGTTCACTGCGATAGAAATGCAGTCTGCAGTCCAGCGATATATGAACTTCAAGGTTATTTTGAGGTTTTTGGTGTTTCTGCTTCCCTCGCTTCTGAAACAAATTCCAGGCATTTTTAACTGTTAACGGTTGATGGGTCACCAGGGCCTTCCGACTTTTTACTAAAAAATCCTGTTTTTTTATACACATGCTGTAAAAGCAAATTTGTTAGATATTTTCGGAGAGAATAGTAAGTATGATGGATAGCACAAAATTCTGAACTTCTACTAGAAGTGGTATTTTTAATTAGCAGCCATTTTCACAGAACTTCACAGATGCTTACTTTGTTTTCGACCCTCATTTTGAGAATATTTAAATTATAATTTAAAAGGGGATATATCTCTTTTCCGGGAAATAAGCAACTTTGTTCGATTTATAATCAGCCACAATAGAATATGAAGAAGTGCTTCCCGCACATTTACCTTCTTGTAATTTGCGTTACTTTTAAATGAACTAATTCCATCCCCAAGCTTTCCAGTTGAAAATTGGGTATAACATGTTAAATTTCACCCACTTTTTGACTATGTCTGATCCTACCAGAATTGTCGGTTTTTCCCGCGTTTTTCCCCACTTTCCCTATATGCATTCTGCAAATGCTAATGAAGTCTTACATACGTTTACTCCTACCATTCATATGTTCAAGCTGTAATCAAAAATAAATAAATGAAATCATCCTACTGCCTTAAATTAGTTCTCAGAATCCTGTAAAGGCAGCTTTGAACACTGGGTGTTTTAGTATGGTGTACCCATAAATTCTTCTAAAGTTGTGTGATATACTAATGATGTGAGTTCTGTAAGTTCTAAGTTATCTTGGAATGAACAAGGTGCAGTAAATTAATATTAGCAACACTGTACTGTGGAGTATGTAACAGGACTGTATTTTATTGTCACCAGACATCTGATGAAAAGTTTCTCGATTAATATGTCTCTATATATACTAAGTGTAACTGCGTATTCACAGAACAAATATTTATAATGTACTATATTTTTGATATATTATATCAAGGTGATATGACTATAAGCAGTAGATTTCGCCCAAGATGTCATCAAATAAATAATTTTGCATCGCGTTTAACCAGGTAAAATTATTTTGTTATAGAATCATACACCAACACGATGCCCAAATTCTATTCTTATATTTATTGAGACGTTTGGTTACACTGAAGTAGGTTACTCAGCAACAAGTAATTACAAATTTCATTGAAATCTTTTTAATGTTTGGTGTGCAAATCTGCATATAAGTTAAAGCTATCTTCATATTTGTTTCAATATCATTATCCTTATCGTAGTGTCCCCTTTTACTTTAAATGTACAATTTAGGTTTAGTAGCTTACTCAAGCATTATATTAGACGAAAATGCATTGCATCAATATGAGCGAAACAGCTACATTCAAAAAGGACTTTGTAGTTTAAACTTGGGGCAGCAATCTCTACTCTACCTGTTTACTACATTTACTTCATACTTTTACAATTATTATCACTGAAATGAGTTAAATACAGTAGGTAAAAATACCGTTCAGTGGGAGAAGCAAATAAATTAATCGGGTTGACTTCTGGAGATTTCATCCACAAATCAGTGAAATCAAGTATATGAACAATTTTCACGGGTATTAATATGTTTGGCATTTTTAGTTGTGACTACTAACCTAATAAGGCATCCGTACTCTCAGTATAGTCATTAAGAAAAGTAACGAAGGCGTTCATGAATATTGGAGTTTAATCTAAATGTGACATGAGATGTTTAAGGCCTAGAAGACTTTCATCAGAAGTTGAGGAATAAACGACATTATTCTGACAATCATATATGAACAGATAGTGCATGGAAGTATGAAGTAACCATTAAATTAGCAAAGTTTTTCTTGGTTTTAATGCAATATTTCCTTGGTGAATTATTCCATCTCACTCTGAATTTCGGTCAGAATTTGTGTATTCCAGAGTTTGTGAAGCTTCGGTGATTACCATTGTTTGCATTTCTCTTAATTAATCAGCATTTCACTTACATATTTGAAACCATTGTAACGTATTTAGCAACCGACAAATTGACAGACTATTGTGGACCTGATGTTCGTATACTGTATTATTTAATAATACTGACTTAGTTGCTGTGACAGTCAGTCGTTCATAAGTAGAAGAACAAAGTTGTTTCATTTTCAATAAATGCATTAAAGGTTTTCATTTCTATAATTTAGTTATTTTAGATAAAGAAGTTGCGCGATTAGGAGCATTTGAATCCAATGCTTTTATGTCCTGGCGGAGTAGGGTTGCATTTGCTACCGATTCTCGCATGTTTTCTCACTTTAGTGGCAATTGTAACATGGTAGGTGAAATTTTCTTAAAAGTTTCCTCTACAACCCCTTTTTGACCACTTTGTCTTGTTTTGATTACTGTGTGGATGTGTGATTTAAAAACTTGACCATCAGTCAGCGAACTACTGGCTTATTATATGCTACGCTCTGTTTAGTGATTAGCGTTCGCAGCTCTCACCGTAAGTGAGGCTCATAGTCTAGTCCCCCAAAAATTCCTAATTGGAAAACCGAATCACTTCCAGTAGTGTGTTAATTTTTACACTATTAACCATTTCCCACTCTGTCGTAATACCTTTAGGTTGAAAATACCGTTGTTGCATTTTATACTGCAAGCCTTCATAATGTGTACGCTTGTACATACAACATTGTTTGTAACTTCAGTAACCTATGAACACCATTCTATAAGCTGCTGTACCATGTTTTGCATATCATATTACGTACCAAAAATATAGTTAGTTTCATTAGTTAGCTTAATAAAGTTTTCAAACAGATTCATCGTTGATTGGTTTACAAATTTAACCCTCAACTGGAGGCTTACATATTCGAACACCAATTTACTCTTTTCAACTGAACAAAAAGTCAGCTCTATTGGGTTTACCACATTGGGTGTACTTCAGAAACTGTTACACAACTGTTGTTTGGACTCGGTTATCCGAAATAAGTATTTCATGTTCCAAAAATATAAGATAAACTTATTACGTCAGGGCTACAGACACTGCCTAGTCTGGATTAGGCCGAACGGGGTTTAAACTTGGATATGATAGATAAGATTTGTAGCTCAGGTGAATGATTTGGATGTGGTTGTGTCCTCTGAGCTGGATGGTTGATTTGGGGATTTAAGGTTCGAACCTATTGTTTGGAAATCAAGTATCAAGGATATTGAGACAGATGAATACCGACTTATATATAATTCTAAGTTTTGGTTTGTGTTTCTTATTTCGTAAGAATATACCAGAATCATTATTTCTGTCTATCCATAAATCCTGGATTTATTCATTTGTTTGGAGACAAAAATGTATTAAACTGGTGACTGCATTATGGATAAGATTTTATTTTGATAAGTGTTACACAGTAATATTAACTGATGACGTTTCGAGCACAAGTTATTACTGCTCATAATCATATCAAGTTACTCACACAACTTTTTCCCTTCATTTATATACATGTGTGGAATTCACTAGATATTTGAATAAAGATCAATATGGGATAATGTGCATTCAGAAATAATAATATGAGTGTTATTGGTCAATTACAATGAGATGGGAAATTAGACGAGTGTTTTTATCGTCATAATTAAGTAACTTGTTAGAGTATGTGATGTACGTGAATTGAATTGAAACAGAATTTTGAGATTATTTATTATCCTCCTCTGATTTGACTGACTGGTGGTAATAATATCTTCCATATTTCTGGTATTTGCATTGAGTCATTTCTGTTTCATGTGTTGGGTGTAGACTCGATGAACCAGGATTCAGTAATCAATCTCTCTCTCCAACTGCATAGATTACTTCCTTCAACTGATTCGATTCTCTAAGCTGTGAGTGGTATCCAACTACTTGTATCAACCAATCAGTAGTATATAGCGTCAGGCATTTAACTTAGACATTTTATCTACTCACCGACTCAAAGTTTATGGTTTTTTATTAGTTTAATTTACATCTATTTTTTGAGTTAACACTCACATATGATACATTAGGCCATAGTGTAACTCCTTCCGTACTTTACGCTAGTTCTATCCTTTCCACATTAAATGAGGAAATTCATGCATTTATTCCCCTTGATGAATTTGAATAAAGCAAGAACAACAGTGGTTTGTGCAGAATAATACTAATAATAGTCTCCAGAAGTCAATTTACCGAAAGCCCACATGGAATGGACAATACTTACATTTTAATAGTTTTTGTCCAAATAGCTATAAACGGGCACTAGTCACGACTCTGCACTATAGAGCGAGGAGAATATGCTTTGCAGAGAAACTAGAGGAAGAATTTACAATTCTCGAGAAGGTGCTGAAAAACAACGGTTACCTTCAAAGATTCATTAACAAATATGGAAGATGTGAAGGCTCAAATACCAAACAAATCACAGTTGAAAAAAAGCCTGTCTTCATTCAACTAGATTTTAAAGGTGAAAACATTGCAGAAATGGTCAACAGAAGACTAAGAACGTCACCAGCCAGAGCCTATCCTGCAGCTAAGTTGATTTCCGTCCATCGAACAATATGCTCTTTGGTGCAGTCAAAAGTCGATAGATACCCTTCTCATGTTAACTCCAACTGTGTATACAAATTTACGTGTATCTGCGGGAGCAGTTACATTGGGAGAACAGAAAGAAAGGCACACCTCCGATTTTCTGAACATGTGCCGAAAAGCCTACGTCTCAAGGAAACAAACTCTTATAGTCGCGCTATTACCAGATATCTCGACACGGGTCATGAGGTGGAAATCGAGAAATCCTTTAAAATTATCAATAGACAAAGCAGCTCCGTTCTCCTGAAGTTTGCCGAAGCAATTTGTATCAAACGCTTGAAACCAGATTTATGTGTTCAGAAAGAAGCAGTTATTAGTCTTTCCTTGACTTGGTAATTGGATGTCTTTTTTCTCTCATCTGATTACGTAATCTTTGTCTTTAACCTCACTCCCATTTTATAATCTGTAAATTTGCTTGTCTCTTGTTTCTATGATTTAAGTTCAACTCAGTACATTGTTACCTGATTTATTAGTCTCTCTGGATCTAACGCATATCTCATCTTTATTATGTAACTCCTTTACCATTGTATGCATACACTTATCTTGTTTAAACTTGAACTGCCTCTGTAAAATCTATATAGGCGCAATTTTCTGAGCACTGTTTACTAATTGTGGAACTTTCTGTCAACTGACAACATGTGAAATTTGCAAATATATTAAAACTTTTCTGTAGGTAAATCTCATTATTTATTTAGGCTGTAAGCTGCAGCTGATGAGAAGCCAACGAAATAAATGGTGGTGCCATATTATTCTGCACAAACCACTGTTGTTCTTGCTTTATTTAAATGAGGAAGTAGGCGATAGCGATTAATATAAACCTAAAAGCGCTTCCGTTACCTCTCGCCTATCCGTTGATATCCGTTTCAATAGTTGCTTTAACATTTGAAGGTACTGTAGAGTCTCAAGCACCTAAAGCCATTACATGAGGATGAAACTTTTATTTAAGTATTGAATTGAAGTTTTGATTCAATAATTAATATATGACCCGTTGCACAAGAGGTGGCTCTCGTGGCCCAAGTGGTCTAGTGGATAACGCTTTGGCGTTTGAAACTATGGGCACTGGGTTCGAGCCTCGGTGGGAACATCATCACTCACTGAGAAATGCAGGTACATCCAGCTGACGAGTCCCAATTAGGATGAAATGCGCATCCTGGATTCCACTGCTAGACACCATCCACCAATTTTATTTAAGTAGTTGATACATAGTTAGACAGACCTCATGACGTACATGCCGCATTCATTGTTTCGTTTCACAAAAATTTAGTATTCTAAATGAGGGAATTTAATTTGAACTGATTCAAGTGTTCAACGTTTTCTCTTTCTGCAGTTACTTCATATCCCTCAAACGTGATCATATATCTCCGTATTTCCCTTATATCAGGTGAGTTAATTTAAATTAGCACCTCCTATATATTTATAATTTTTTTCTATTTTATTCCTTTACGTTCCTAATGGCTTCAAATTAAAACCTTAAAGTTTCTGTGGCAGTGGTGTTCATTTCTACGGGGTGAGATTGCTAGTTTCATGCCAAACCTTCCCTCTTTATCGGCCTAATTACCTACTTAGCGAGTCATATATATATATATATATATATATATATATAATCCAAGTTAGGCAACATGTATAATGAAGTAAGAACTGATGAGAACTTATTGGTTTCCTACGTCAAACCCTTAGACACACTGATTTCTAATGATCTAGGTAAAACCCTCTGTAATACTGGCTTTCAGCTAAGTGAACCATTACCTGTTGCACTCATAGTGGTTTTTGACACAAAATCTCAAAGGATAGACACGTGCATATTATTCAACGCTTTAGATATTTAAATTAGTTAATAAGGATAATGAAGTCTGAAATTAAATGCAGCTTGGTTGTTTATTATCAGTACCGTTGCTTTTGAGTTTCGTCCCACACGTGTGTGTTATCAATATTTTGATTGCATGGAGGACTTCATCATGAGCTGATATCCGTCAGAGAACCACTGGAAAACTTGGTAGCACTGGACAGCTGTTTCGTCCTAGTTTGGGACTCTTCATCAGTAAGCACCCAAGACCAGGGTTCGAACCCAGGACCTTCTGGTTACAAGACCAGCTAGCTCGTAGAACATTGAGCCACTGGGACGCGATCCAATAGTCCATGAATTCTAAATTCTGCCAGCAGGTTGGAGATGAGGCAGTAACTCATCGAAGAAGAGATTGCGAAATGGTCGCGCTGTGTCGTGAATTGGCAGAAGTTAGAATTCAAGGACCACTGGATCGTGTCCCAGTGGCTCAATGGTATACGAGCTCGCCTTGTAACCAGAAGGTCCTGGGTTCAAACCCCGGTGGGTGCGTACTGATGAAGAGTCCCAAACTAGGATGAAACAGCTGTCCAGTACTTCCAGGTTTTCCGGTGGTTCTCTAGCTGATGTCAGCTCATGATGAAGTCTTCCATGCAATCAAACAAAATCCCTAGAAAGCAATACTTGAAAATATTTATTTTGTAATGTCTGTAGGCTATCATACTTTGAAAAGGGATGGTAAAAGTTATTTTGGTGCGCATTATCTGCAAAATGTAACTGGGGTATTTATTATTCTTACAATTTTACACGATTGTGTTGATCTCGTGTACTCGTTCAAAGTATGGGGTGTCTGACACTTATTATTAGTCTTCACAGTTGAAAAAGTAAAGACCCTAGCAATTAGCTCACTGACTTTAGCAAAAAAAAATGATAACAATAATTATAGAATAATCTGTAAGAAGCTTGTAATAGGTAGTGATTGTAATAACAGTGGCACACATTGATGTTTTACTATCTAAAATATAGTCCCATGACAAGCACAAATATTAATTACTAAACCTGCTATCTGTGTGAATAAAAACTCATTAGATGCAATAGAATCGGCATATTTTTCATTTCAGGTATATAAGAAATGATAGTACTACTAAAGTTGGATAATACAAAGTAATGCAAGTTGTCTGACAACTTTGTCATTAACATATTGCATAAATGTATGAAATTCCTCTCCCCCCACTTGTAGTCATGTAAATGCAATTTAATTTCTCTGTATAACTCTCCGAGTCGACTCTGAGACATTGTATGTGTGATTAATAGTAAATTTTATTGTATGTTTTGTGTATTATATCATGTGGAGAAGTATTTTATCGTTTTTTTTAAAATAGTGTTTGTCAACTAAGGGAATCCATGATATTAGTGTTCATCAGTGTTGATTGGAGAAACTCTTCTCTTCCCCTAACTACTCTCCTTCATGCTCAATTACTTTCAAAGGGCACTGAGGTTGACTTACTTGAATTTCATTAAAAACTTATAATGATAGTCATGAGACAAACGGTTTAATCTGTTATACTGAAAATGGAACAGAGAAAATTGTTTTATTGAATTTTTAAAACTTTCACTCACTATAATGCCTGATAATTGTTTAAAGAATCTTGGAAGAAGTTATGGTCAGGCGACTCTAAGAAGATACTCAAATGTCCAACATCGGTATGCAAAGGTCTAGTCGATGATGCTTAAGATAATACGGTGACCACAGATCATCATTCTGTTTGTCTGTTTTTGACATAGAACTTTGCACCGATGTGCGGCAGTTCGAGTCGCCACACTCCACGTAGCACACAAAGCAACAGGATAAAGTAGAAGAAATGCATAGTAGAGACAGTAAACATAGGTGCGAGACAAAGGAATACTAATAACGAAGAACAATGTAGTTTCATTGGAAATCATAAGTCACAAGGAGTGGATGCATCTGCGCCAGCCATTGAGAACGATTTTGAGCCATGTCACCAATTGTTTCCAACCATTGGTTTTACCGTCCCGAGGACCCGAACCAGGAAGCCAGTCTACACCTCGCTACGCGGCTGGCGTAAACTAACTGTTGTGGATATCACTGACTGATGAAGCTATGTTTTGGTTTGACCGCCGCTAGCTCTTTTCCAGCCTGACCCTATACCAGCTAACATTGTCCGTCAGTCGAGGAAGGCGATGACTTGCCATACGTAACACATGTCCTAACCATCTCAGTCGAAGTAATTTCACGACCTCGTCGGTTGATTTCTCCTCCTTACCTAGCACTCGACCGAAGCCTAACCTTAATATTGCTCACCTTATTATGCCACTTCACACGGGAGATAGAACGCAGGCACCTATGATAGAAGACAGCTAGCTAGTCTTTTCATGTCTTAGACTCTCAATAACCAGGTCTCACAACCATAAAGGAGGACGGGGTGGACTGATGAGCAGTACACCCGCCCTTTGGTAGATAGTCGGATATCACGTCTTCGCCAAAGACGGCGTAAACTGGTATATGCGAAACTAGCCCTCTGTATCCGTGCTGAGATTTCGTCAGAGATAAACCCGTCGGCGTTGGCTGATGGTACTTCCCAAATAAGTGAAGCGGTCAATGTGCTCTACCACTTCACTTCCTATTTTTAAACTAGGCGTCGATGTATTCCAGTTCTGTAACATCATCTTGCATTTGGCGGGAGCGAATCGCATGCCAAACATTCGTAGATTGCAACTCAAAGTGTTTAGAAAACTCTGCATTTTGCCAGCGTCTTCGCCTAGAAGGACTAAATCGTCTGCATATTCTAAGTCAACGAGATGACTCCCTGGTATCAAGTCAATCCCTGTGTCTCTGAAGTGAGTTAGGGTTAAGTCCATTAGTACATCTATGATGAAATTGAATAGAAATGGGGATAATGGGCATCCCTGACGGACACCATGAGTCGTCACCAGTTCAGATGACAATTCGCCGTAAGCCCTCACCTGGCTGCTTGAGTTCATCATTCTATACTCTGTAACCACTATCACACTCTCGATTTAAATATTCGCTCCTATCAACCAGATATGAAATACGTTCAGCAAGGAGTGTGACACAATACTCTGATATATTTTTTCTTGGTGTTCAGTGTACCAATATTAAAAGCCAATTGTGAGGAAAGCCCCTTTCGTTATATACACATATAATATACTTTATTTTACCCATTGGTAACTGACATTTTACGCTTGTGCAAACATATTCTTAATGATTTATTATCATTATTATTATTACTGTTTTTACACAAAAATAAGTTTCACTACATAACTTTTTATCTATACACATCGTCATGAATATAACGCATATTCTATGGGTGCACACCCAAATTTAAGGATATATATATATATATATATATAATACTAATATATATATAATATATATATTACTAATATATAATACTATATATATAATACTAATTCAAATAAGGACTACATAAATATTAGTTGATATTCACTGTTATTTGCACTAATGAATATAAACAACTTATACACTGCACAGTATTTTTAATTATTACTGTATAAAATAAAGTGTTAATAATTTTAAATATAAACATTCTTGTCATCAGTAAAGTCACCCTTACTATATTGCGTAAGATTTCTAAATTTCTATCTACTGACTTGGACGAGTGAAATAGATAATAAGTTTAATCACTGACTGATTTCACTTACAAAACCATTAAAAAGCCAGAAAGTATTGGACAGCTTTTACTTCCTTGTGTGAGTCTCATCGGGGTATGCAACCACGATCGAGACAAGGACCGAATCTAGGATTTTCAGATTACAAGGTGAGATCGATGATCATACAGACAATGAGACGGAATCCAGTGACCCATTCCTGCCAGTTAGCGACGTATAGCTCGACCACTAGTCAGTGTTATAGGCGAGTGTTTGTTGTCACACTCTGCTTGGTGAACCTTACCGGTCACAAATTCTCACCTGAACTTCAACCAACTTTATCTCATAGTCAGTCACTAGACTGACCACTAGATTCGGTTGATTCCAATTTCCATCATGAATTCACTTCAATTAGCGAACCGCTGAAAACTAGTGAGTACTAGAAGGCCGTTTCGTTCTTGTCTGGAACTCTTCAGCGGTGACACAATATCAGACTCATTCGTGTTCTGTTGTTGGTTGTGATACTGCTTTTGGGGGGGGAGGGGCTGAAACGAAACCTTCTCACGCATACGGGCGAGTTTAATCTCAATTGTTTCTTAATTAAATTGATCCAGATACAGGATAATAATATTCACCATAAAAATCTTTAAACAAATACTTATTGTTGCAACACAGTTGTATATGCATACAATAAGACATTAGGGTGCGACCGGGTGAAAGTATTATAAAGCAACATAGTCAGGTAGACAGAGAGAGATGTTGATCACGGAATCTTTGATTATTGATTCAACACCGAGCACGTGCAATCGAAACGATGCAACGCCTATACAAGAGATAAGGAAAGTTGCAACAAACGGCAAGGGGAAGAGAGAGAGAGAAATGCATGTATGAAGTACATGATAAAGCCGTATTTATTATTATTATTATTATATCCTTTAATTCCTAGAAGAACATAGGGCTTCAGCTGCGCGTCTCCATTGCCTTCTGTTTTCTGCCAGCTTTTTCACCCCGGTCCAAGTCTGCCCACATGCTTTCATCTCCTCTTCACATCACCTCCTCTAAGTCACCCTTGCACCGACGACCAACTCGCCGCTTCTCTTTCGGGTTCCACCCGAGCGATGGCTTGTCTAGTGATGTCACTTGATGGTTTCCTCAGAGTATGGCCAATCCATCTCCATTTGTTTCACAATCGGTTCCTGGTCGGTTCGCTCATTCCCAGAGATCCCTGTTGCTGATCTTTTCTGGCCGGCCATCTGATCTTGAGTATTGAGTGAAGACAACTGTTAATGAAGGTCTGAAGTTTGCTTGAGATGTTCTTTATGACGCGCCAAGTCTCTGATCCATATAGTGAGTAGCACTGACTTCACATTGAAGTTGAAAATCCGGATCTTATTTTCATTTTCATGCTGAGTGCTGTTGACCTCCACACAGACTTAAGAGAAATGAAAGCTTGCCTTGCTTCCCCGATGCTCGCGCTTTGATATCTTCGTCAGTTCCATCCACCTGTAGTTGAAGCGATGCTTCCCTGGTAGATAAAGTAGGTTGTTTCTTTCAGGTTCCTCCCATTTATGCTGGCTGATTGTTGTCTGTTGTTGTTGTTATTACTGTTGGTGTTGGCTTGGAATCTTCATCACCTCTGTTTTATCTATGTTCACTTGAAGTCCTATCTTTTATGCTTCTTCTGCCAGCTTGTTGCTTTTCACTTGCATATCTTCCAGTTTGTGGGAAATCAGACACATATGTCGCATCGGCGAAGTCCAGATCCTGCAAGTTTTTTGTGTGAGTTCATTTTATTCCTGTTTCCTGATTACCCGTTGTCTGTCGCATTATCCAATCTACTGCAATCAGGAAGATCATTGGCGATTGTAGACAGCCTTGCCTCACTCCCGTCCTCACTTCTAAGGATTCCGTAAGTTTCCCGTTGTGGATTACTTGGCATGCAACATTGTCGATAAAGCCGTATGACTAAATGATATTATCATGAGCATTACATTCTGCTTGGAATATCATCCAGTTATTAATACTGCATCACTGTGTGATATTTGAGATAAACTGATCTAATATGGAATTACATTATACCACACTGTCCATGCTATGCACTTACAGAGCCGCCAGAATAGCTCAGCAAGAAGAGCGTTAGACTGAAGATCTAAATGTCCCCGGTTCGATCCCGGGTTCCGGCAAGAGTGTACTTTTACTTAGTTGTATATATATATATATATATATATATATATATGTTCACTAATTGTATTCACTTCTGTGGTGAAGAAATAATTTTGCGCAAAGCTGTCGATTCATACTTCTAAAGCTTAGACTTTTATCACTTAATGAGAAATTCAGCATTTCTGGCATATTTATTGTATCATTAACAATAAAATAGAGATGAGGTATGAGCTTTTAAAGAATTTCACAATGATATCTGTTAAAAAGATACATCCAGTGCTGAGCATAGAAATTCAAACTTGTACAAAGTGACTTTTAAAATACTTATATCTGTAGATATCTAATATCCATAAAATGTCGCAATTTTTTGTGGTATTAGGTGAATCTCCGTATCACAAATAAAATAATAAATCAATAATATTCAGGCAGACTAAAATATCTTCAGCACAGCGTTTATTACGGTTTCTCAGTTGCAGATGACGTATCACTCCTGAATATCGGCTAGGAGGTAACAAAAGAAAAAAATAAGATGATAATAATGAAAGTCTCAAAAACGTATGAGACAAGGAGTAAGGTGATAAACCAGAAAAGAAGTCAAATGTTACGGCCAAGTGGAATATAAAGTAGGAGTGGTTGGTGATGTTAATAATAATAATAATAAACTTTATTCCAAAACAGTATTTGCGAATACAGAATGGAATTCTCAGCATTTTACTACAGTATTGCATCCAGTTAGTACATTATCAATAAAGAAAACTCTACATAGATTAAGGGTAATCTCAGTTCATTATGACAACAACTTATTAGCATGTCGGCAAAGCCAAAATTGAACAGAGTGTTTGAAGGTGTTAGAAAAGTAGATGCTAGCATATTTACTGGCGTAAGCGGAAGAAAGAAACAAAGCAGCACATAACAGAAAACAATGAGAGAGAGAAAAGGAAAAGAAAGAATAAAAAAAACGTTGTACCTATAAATGATGAGTTGGAAAGACGAGATCCAGTAGTTCTACTGGCTATTTAGTAAGTTAAAGGTTTCACGCCTAATGCTTTCTTTATCGCACAGAACACGAGCCAAGTAGGGTATGGTTGAGTATTCGTACTTGCATGTGCGAGCATATAGTTTTCTATATAGGCTTCTGGTTTTCCCTGAAGAGATACATGGGGAGAGTTGTGAATGTAGAGGGTGTTGTGAGTTAGATAAAATGGATTTAGCCCATTTTTGACATGAGTCCATGTGCCTGCCAACCAGAATATTAACAAGCTGCCTGAGTGGCGAACTGCTTACCCTGCTGACAACCTTTAACATCCTGCGTAATAAGCTATAGTCTTTCTTCAGCAGCCCGAGAAAAACTAAGGGGAATAATAGAGAATGATAGGTAGAATACGGGAGTTAACGAATTGTAGGAGTAAGGGTTGGGTTATACCAGAATATCTTAACTTCTTGATGTAGAAAGTAAGGCGGAATATTTTCTTAGAAATCATCAAGATAGGAGACGACCAGGTAAGACCAGCAGATAGAACGACGCCTAGGTATTTAATTTCTGACTTGGTTTGTATTTCAGTACCATCCATGTTGCACACCTTGTGAGTGCTAACCAGTTTGTTTAGGTCAGATTTGTGCCTAAAGGTGAAATTAACTGTTCGGCATTTGGACCATTGGCTGACTTCTTATAAAAAGCCGTTCAGTTTAGAGCAGTCACTTTGACATTTGACAGGCAAAGATACAGTTAGGTCATCAGCATATTTAACAAAATTAATGTGATTTGAAGATGGTAGGTCATGTAGGAAGAAAGAAAAGAGAAGTGGGGAGAGTACAGCACCTTTAGGGACACCAGCTTTAGTGAGGACAACAGAGGAGGATTTGCCTTTGTATACGGTATACTACATTCTGTTTGAAAAGTAGGAATGCAACCAGTTAGTGACCCAGGACTCAGTTTGTGTCATCGAGAGCTTATTTAGCAAGAGACATCTAGGTACAGAGTCAAAACCAGAAGTGAAATCGAGAAACGTGCAGCTGACGTATTTGGCACCTTTATCTAATGATGAAACGATACTGTTGTGTAGGACGGCTGCAGCGTCTAAAGTACTCCTACCCTGTCTATAGGCAAATTGTTTGGGGTCTTCAAAGCTTTTAAGGGAGGGTTCGAGTTTAAGAAGTACTAGTTTTTCCATAAGCTTTAGAAACGGGAAAGTGATGACAATGGGTCTGAACTTTACGTTCTTGCTATTTCCAGGTTTAGGGACAGGGACTATTATAATGTCTTTCCATGGAACAGGTACAACGTTTTCGGAGAAAGAAGCATTTAGGATGTTAGTTAGAGGAGAACATAAAGCATCTGCGCATTGTTTTAGAACATATGCAGGTATACCATCAGGGCCAAGGCTACATGAGGGCTTAAGAGTTTTAAGACATTTTAAAACATCGAGAGTGTTAAAGCCCTGGAAGTTATCGGCTACATGATTAATAACGTTAGAAGTAGTTATAGTGTTGACAGTTGATTGTAAAAGCTCAGTGAGCACCGAACGTTTTCAATATGTTTTTACTCTCTATATCTTTGAGGGTATATGGATCTTGCAAAATTGATTTTTCTACTTAATTTATTATCACTCTGTTACTTTTCAACTGCTAATTATTACTTTTTAAGAGAGTACTCGTTCCTTCTAACCAATGAATTTACTTTTTATTTTGGTGTATATTGTTCTGGAATATGAAGTGACGCTGGTTCAACGGTCCCGGAAAGTTGTATATTTGGCCAGTTATTAAATATGGCTTCACTAATTGGTAAATACCGATTAACTGTTATCTTGTTTTATTAATGCTGTTGTCTAATGTTTATTAGATAACTGTGTATACATATAAATGTCTGATGAGCGCTACATCTTAAAATGTTGTATTAAACATGAAGCGTTCTGTTGAATTATTTTAATTACTGTCTGTCTTCATAACGGTTAATTTGTCAATTTTGCGGAAACTGACGGTTTGCATTAGATATTGGAATTCAAATTTCAGAACCAATGATAAACAGACTAAAAAGAATTAAGCTCACACCTTTCTGTCTTTTTAACAATTAATTTAAGGAGATATTATTGATTAGTCAATGGTGATAATTAAAACTACGAAAGGTGGCTCTCTTGGCCCAAATAGTTTAGTGGATAACAATTCAGCGTTTGAAACGCCAGGCACTGGGTTCGAGCCCCATTTGGTACACCATCACTCACTGAAGAATGCAAGCATATGGGGATAACGAATTCCGATCACGACGAAATACACATCCTGGATTCGACTGCCAGTCACCATTCATCATATTATTATACTTACAGATTAGACATTTCTTGGTTCAAATCTAACCAGTGTAGTATTCATTAACATTAGGAAGAAAATTAACTATAGTCATAAATATAAATATGAATAAAGCAATGGACAAATTAGTAGTGAGACATGCTTTTCAGTAATATAGCCGAATCGGTAGCTTAAAACACGTACACGCACACACTTGTGTTCTCCTTCATATTGTGTGCGGGTTATTTCAGTGTGAATGGTATAATGGTATCGATGTCGGTATACTGATCCATTACCTGAAAGAACCGTTACTTCGATGCACCTTCAACGTATACTTTAGTTTCAACAAGGAAATATACAGGCAAGTAGATGGAGTAGCAATAGGTTCTCCCTTAGGACCCCTCCTAGCCGATTGCTTTATGGCTAGCTTAGTAAACAACGCCTTATCACTGACTATCAACGACCTCCATCTCTACAAGAGATACATCGATGATACTTTCATTATTTGTGATGAGAATTGTGATGTAGAAAAACTACTTCAAATCTTCAATAATGCCCACCCAAACATCGACTTTACACTTGAGACTGAATCCGACGGAATGTTCCACTTCCTCGACGTCCATCTGACAAGAAACGCCAACAACTCTCTGAAAAGGTCAATATACAAAAAGCCCACATGGAATTGACAATCCATCAACTTTCAAAGCTTCGTGCCCCTGAGTAGAAAGAGGAACCTGGTATACGCTCTTTCCTCGAGGATTCGGAAGATATGCAGCGAGGAAGTGGTTGAAGAAGAACTGCGTAATCTTCGAAAAACCCTGATGGAAAACGGTTTCCTGCCCCGATTCATAGACAAGAATCTCAAATGTAAGAAGACTTCCAATCCGTTCCAAAGAAAATACTTCTGCTTAATCTATAACTCAAAGGTGATATTGAAGCAGAAATCCTTCGCAAACGCCTCTCCAAATCGCTGAGGAAAACATACTTCGCTGTGAGGCTACGACTGATGTTTTACTGCAAGAAACTGTTCAGCCAGAACGCGAGAGACAAGCTGTCGCAATGGGCCACCTCAGCGTGCATATACCAGTTTACTTGCTCTTGTGAAGCTGAGTACGTTGGCCATACCATGCGCCGACTTGAAAAACGCGCTCGTGAACACTACCCAGCCTGGTTAGTAGAAGGAAACCAAAAGCGATTATAAAATTCAGTGACAGAACATCTTGTCAATTCAGGACATTCAGCACCTTTCGAAAAATACTTCAAAGTAATATACAAGATTCAATCAAATCTATCAAAGGGAGTGAAATCAAGACATATGGGCAAGCCGAAGCGCTAGCTATACAAAAGCTCAAACCTACACTTTGTATCCAAAAGAAATACGTCCAACCCCTGTCCCTACCATGGCCATCATAAACAGTTAATTTTTTAGTAATGACCATCCTATCACCTTTCTTATCTAAACTTCCTGTTTATTCATGTAATTTTTTAAAGTTTTTCTTAATCCCTGTTTACACTACCATATTTTCATATCCGAACTTCGTGTTTATTTTGTCATTTTACTATTTCTACATATTTAAACCCTGAGTGCATAAAGAATTATTCATCACATTAGTTTTTTTTATTCAAACATCTTGTCTATTTTTGTTATTTCTACATTTCTAACCCCTAATTGCACAATATCAATCTTCTTAGTTATTATGATGCTACTTTGTTTGAGTTTTAACTGTCCCCCTGTTTATTATGGCATTCTAATTCCTAATTTTAATTTTTATTAATTTGACCCTTGACCGGATATTATTCTGAAACTTTCCCATCCATCTGATATAAATACACGAATGTACAGCCTAGATGATGACTTCGTCGAAAAGAAAATTTTCTTTGCTGCAATTTTCTTCTGAATGGTATAAATAGCAGTTCCCTCTTCTCAATAGAGTATAGTTATCCAAACATTTCTTTCTACTTTGCTAGCATAAGGTCACATTTAAGTGAAGCTTTAAAGAAAAATTCACTGTCACTGTAGATATTCTTAAGCAGGTATGAGTGCAGTTGATAAAAGGTTTGAGCGAAGAAATAAATATTTTTGCAGTTCGATCGCCATCTACTACTCTACTCTAATATATTCAAACATTTTCCAGTCTAATGGCAATATCACCATGTCAACGGGGTACTAATTAACCAAGAAAATTAGTGCAACAATTAAATAGTTGAAATATTTGCAAAAATTAAACAAGTGGATTACACATTACATAATTTTGAAGAAAAGTAAAAGAGAATTAAATAAGTGTTCGGATTGATTACTCAATTAGCAGTTAGAATAATAAAATAATGAGGATAATGATAACATGTAAAATGGTTAAGTGGAGGGAAAATTGTCATTTTCTTACATTCATGTAATGATGGTCAAGGTAAGCAAAATGACTGCACGGATTTCTTCTACAAATGGATTCTCATGGCTTTAGTTGTACAGAGAAGAGAAACTAATATTATTATTCGGAATACGATAAGTTATTTTAAATGCTTTATTAATATCAGCTTAGTGCTCACTGTCTATAAGGTGTGCTAAAACAGCAGTATAAACAGATTTCGTTTATCGGTTGCTCAGAAATCCGTTGTTAAACATGCCTAAATTGTACGTCCAATATAACTATCACTACATGAGCAATCAGACTGGTAGATACACACAGAGGAGGCAAAATTAGGTAGTTTATCCTAATTCTTTGAGTGTAAAACTGCAATAGTTTGAAAAAAAACACTGAATGCTCTTTTTACTGCCCTCTTTAAAGAGATTATTATTATTATTATACGTTATTACTTCACCGATGTTATCAACAAAAAACTGCAATCTTATGAACAAGGGCTTCTTTGGATTTGTTGCCATACTGATTTACCTCAACGCTGAATCCGTATTTTTATCAATGAGTTTATCTAGACAACCATTTTCGCTGAGTATGTATTGGCGGTCACAAGGAATATTTCCAAAAGGTTGCAGACCTTTATTAACAACTGTCTTCGCTCTATAGTGAACATCAGATGGCCGGAAAGAATCACCAACAAAAACTATGGTAACAAACAAAACGAGAACCAATCGCCAACCAACAAATATGCAGGAGAAAGTGGATATGGATTGGACGCTACTCGCTGAGGAGGCCGCTGTGTGACATCGCGCGTCAGGCCACTGCTCGAGTGGAACCTGAAAGGGAAGCGGCGAGTCAGACGTCCAAGGGTGACATGGAGATAGTGTGAAGAGGAGTTGAAACAGTTTGGGCTAACATGGATGCAGGTGAAAAGTACAGCAGAAGGAAGACAGAGGCAAGCGGAGGCATGCAGTTGAAGGTCTATGTTTCACTAGGAACGCAAGGGAGCAATAATAATAATAAGTCTTCGATAATCTTGAACTCATCGTTTGAGCAAAATACTCTATGAACCAAACATGTTACTAAGTTGCGTTTATGTTTCAAAGGTGTGAAAATCAAAAGAAACGAGTACACAGACTTGTCGCTATAGATTTCCTGTATAAACGTTTTCTTATCGGACCACTAGACTAGTACATTTCTATACTGTATTGTAAACTATATATATATATATATGTATATATATATATATATATATATATATATATGTTGGAGTGGAGGATTTCATTGGAAAGTTAATATTTCTTCTCTCAGTCCTTTTGTTTTCTTACATAGAAATGCTGTAGATCACTTTTAATTACTATACTGGTGTTTACTTCACTGTGAAAGCTGTTTTGCTACATGTACTGATAACAAAGATGATGCCACTAATGTTCAGGCATCCACTGATAATATTTTTTACAATTCTTTTTTTTATCATTCAATGATTGTTTTCTTCTTGCGTGGATTTAAATATAAAGGAGGTTTATGTTTCTATTCATGGCATAAATATGTATTGGATTGCAGTCAGAAATATGATCGGCGATGTTATCGTCAGATGCAAATAACTAGAATTGCTTTATGTTTTGGCCTTATATCAGCATTTGGAATGAGTTTAGTTGCTAATTTTCAAGTGAGTCATTCATCATCACTGTTGTTCAGACAAATATTGTTTACAATTTCACATCTCATGTAATAATAATAGTCAATTAGTTTAATGATGAGCAGAAAAATAAGGATATTTGAACATTAATTAATCGGAGAAATAGCATTACTTTTATTATTCTTTTGCAATTAATCAAAGATTCTGTATATGTTGGATAGGTTTATTCAGGAAGCCATGGTTTTTGTTCCCAATGAGGAACAAGTGAAACTATTGTAACAACAGAAGACAAGGGTCGGGCAACAGATCGTTTATTAAGGAAATCAGCACGTATTTATGTATATTTTATGTACATTATTATAGCTTATTCAAGCAGACAAACACAGTCTTCTGATCGGCTGTTTCTTGCTCAAGGTTATTCTGTACTGCTTGTGACTGGTTCCTCAGAAAGTTAAGCCATATGCCTGCGAATCGTATTTGCCCACGTTAAGTCTGCTGTGATTGGTTGTTGAATCAGTCATGTTCATATTTCCTCACGGCCAATATTAGCGACATAGACATTGACGTAAATTAATGTCTATCAATTGGCTAGCAGCCTGCTCTCACCACACTATAACGAAAATGTGGATTGTATACGCATTCGGACTATTAGTCTTTAGATAACTCGGTCAGCCAAACAAAGTCATACGATTTTACGCTTGTCAGGTTTTGATTTCATAGAATTTCTCCCGCCCCCCCTTCAGCGTTGTCTTACGAATGAGAAATGCTCTGGTGTATCAAATCAGTCTGCTTGATGTCATTGTGGCGACTGCTACTGATAAGACTTATCAGTAGTATAGAGTAGAGACACTTATCGGCATAAAAGCATCAAGTAGCAGGGAGATACATCTGATGTCAGAGAAAGCAAAAGATTCGGCGTAGTGGAAATACATGGGAGATGTGAAAGGAACACAAGGAAACATAAAATGGAGGAAGGCGAGAAGTAGAACAACACGGAAGATATGTTCAGATGGCACGTTGAAGATAAGATGTACACAATTTGGTTATATAGAGATACCAAATTGTGAAATTACATCGACTGGATTCTTTCCGGCCCGGCCATCTGATCTTCAGCATAGATCCAGTGAAGACGGTTGTTGGTTGATAAAGGTCTTCAATATCCTGTTGGAAATATTCTTTGTGACCCACCCACCAAGTTTCTTATCCGTATAAAAGAACTGACTGACTTGACGTTGTTTGTATTGAAAATCCGACCGAATTTTGTTGTTGACTCTGGCTAAGTGACGAAGATTTCCAGATTGGTTTCAGTTGGTTGATGAATGTGTTTCTCGCCTGGCTTCCCGATTCTCGCTCGATTTGACATCCTCGTCCGTTCCGACTTCCTGTAGTTGAGGCAATGCTCCCTAGATAAGTGAATAAAGTAACCAACCTCTTTCAAATCCCTCCCGTTGGTGGTGATTGACGCTGGATGTTGCTGATGTTGTCGTTGTCGTTGATTGGTTATTTTCATAACCTCCGTTTTGTCTATGTTCCCCTGGAGTCCTGTCTTCGCTGACTGCTTATTCGACCAGTTTGTCGGTTTTCATTTGTAAGTCTTCGATTTTGTGTGACATCAAAAATAAATCATCCACGCGCGAAATCCAGGTCTTCTAGGTTCTTCACGTCGGTCCATGATATCTCTATCTTCTCGTTTCCCACTATCTGACGCATAATCCAGTCCACCACAATTAGGAATATCATGGGTGGGTGACAATAAGCACCCTTGTCTGACTCCTGTGTTTACTCCAAACGCCTCGCTGAGTTTTCCGTTGGGGATCACTTGACATGTGCTGTTGTCGTACAGCTGTTGAATAAGGTTGATGAATATTTGGGGTACGCCGTAGTACTCGAGTAGTTTCCAAATTACTTCGCAGTCACATGTAGACACATGGTGATGTGACTTAAAATCTTACACTTGGACGTAGATGTATATTTTATTCTCTGTCATCTTCCAAATAGCAGATATATTCGCCGATTCTCTCTGAGTCATTCCTTCCGTCACATACACACGCTGGTTTGTACATTATAGTGTCACATAGTTTCTGAATGATACTTTTTATGTGCCGTTTTTAAGTCTGACAATTCCAGGAACTTGTTTGCTTATCTGTCAAGGAAAATTCAAGTATTCTGAATGAATTATAATACTGGCACGCGAACAAGCTATTTTAAGGTCATATCATTATCAAATTATGTATATAGACCTTTGGATGTCTATAATTAGTGTTCATATTTTCATATTAAGAAATGTCATTATAGCTGAAACAATTAAAGTTCCTTTCAGGTTGTGAACGAGAATAATAAGTCACTTAAAATTATGTCAAAAGAAATTGTGAACAAAATAACACTGTTACTAATATGGTTGAAGTTTCTGTAGCGATTTGGTTGTTTTACGGGGGTGGAGTTGCTAGCACCACGCCCAACCTTCTCTCTTTACCCGGGCTTAGGACCGGCTAGAAAACTAGAAAGCTAGTAGCCTAGCAAGCTAGTAATCTGGCGAGGTTCTGTTTCTAATAAATTCAGCTTATTTCTTCCTATGTGAAATAAGTCTAAATTGAAATCAATAAATGGCGATCTGGCTACTTCGTGAGTGAATGAGAAACTAGCTTCTTAGTCACAATGTTTAGGTAACAGAAGATTGAAAATAATAATCATAATAATAAAATTTCGATCGGTAAAATACTACAAATTAAACGTGAAGTTTTGTTGTGTTTTTTTTTTCTTTTTTGACATGTAATTTGTTTTGTTACTTGTGAATCACAGGATTTTAGTAAAACAAAGTTGATAACGCCTTACACTCTTGAGAAAATTTTGTTTATCATGTGAACTAAATGAAAAAGGATCTTTTTAGATACTCTTTTTTTTAACTCTCAGTTAACTAATTGCTCTGTTGATCGATTTGTATTCTTCATCATTGTGTCTACAACAGTTTTGAGGATTGGAGTCAAACCTTTAAAGATTCAAGCAGAATATATTATCAAACATCGATTGCTTGAACTCATCACGAATAATTTATTGAATTCAATGTATTATATGAACTATATCACCTAACTGGGTACGGACTGATTTATTTTAAGTTAGTATTCTCAGGTATTGGTTTTGTAAGGATTTTGTTTGATTGGTTGGAGGACTTCATCGTGAGCTGACATCAGTTAGAGAAGTCAGAATTCATGGGCCATTGGATCGGGTCCCAATGGCTTAATGGATTACGAGCTTGACTTGTGACTGGAAGACCCTGGGTTCGAACCCCGGTGGGTGCGTACTGTGAAAAGTCTCAAACTGGGACGAAACAGCTGTCTGGTACTTCCAGGTTTTCGAATAATGTTCTCTAACTGATGTCAGCTTATGAAGTTGGTATTCATTGCAAATTCAAATGGGTTAGAGAACCAACGAGAACTAGACAGCACTGTTAGCTTGCTACAATAATATATGAAACTCTCAGGAGGTCTCACTCACGACATACTTTAGCGTCAAACCCAAGATCGTTTATTACTGACTGAAATGTTTGACCGAAACTCTCATAAAAGGTATCAGTTTTCGCAAAAGCACACAAAATAATCATAAGAGATAAACAAGCATGTGAAAAATACATTAAGTGAATAAAAATAATAAAGATTTTCATAACAGTTTTAGGCTGTCTTACTAGAAATTTCCAAAGCATTCATTCTTAGCTTATAGTAGACCCTTGCGAGGTAATCTTTACCTTCTAACGTAACTTAAATCATTTTGATTGAACATTAGTTAGTAACTTGTGTAATATGTCTAGTCCTCCGTTTGGTGCAGACTGAATTTTGTCAGTGAGGTCTTGCAATGTGGGCACCATTCTACGTGGCTTGCCACCACGGCGCACTTTGAATTGTTGATGTAAAATGGAGACATTACAACAGTTACTAACTAGTGTTCCATCAAAAATATCCACTACAGTCCTAAAGGAGGTCGATAGTGAGCCTGAATAGCTCAGTGTTAACGTCTATGACTTCAGTACTGGGTGACGCGGGTTCGAATCACAGATAGGACATGAGTTCTTTCAAGATTGCAGATACGCCTTGCTGACTGATGAGTGCCAGCTAGCACGAGACCTAAGTGCAAGGCTTTGTGACGATTTCCTCCAACCATTTAATACTTAAATCACTGCTTTGTGATTTCACCTAGTGATGTCACGTTATATTCTGACAATCCGTAACTGTTTTCCCATCTCATTTTTACTTGCCACGATGCTCCCTATAACAAGAAAATGAACAACAAATGTTCATGATCAGAAACATCTGGTCTTTGAATACATTTATTCCCAACTGTCAGTCCTTTAGGGTTGACACAACTTTGCATATACTTTGAAGGGTAAACAAATGCAGCCATTTAACTGACTGTGCTTAAATTAGGAGTTGGCGTACACCATACCTCCAATCTCATCTTAAATCTTATGAGGGTGAAATCTATACCAAACATACTCATATTTTTGTCCTAGATATTCACTAAAGTCTTCACCTAAAAGGACCAAATCATCTGTGTTTTCGAACTCACTGTAACCTTCTGCATATCGGAGTGAAAGAGTTCACTTGAGTGAGGATCATATCCATCCTCATGTCAATAATCAGACTAAATATTAATGGTGACATGAGGCATTTTTCATAGACACTACTGGTTATTAACACTTCAGACAAAACTTATCCATAAGCTCCCATTGTGATTGATATGAGTTCAGATGTAGTGCTTTCATTAACCTAATATACATTATAGTTACCGCAATACCCAACTATCAAGGGAGTTAAATGTCTCCTTCTAATAAATAGTAAATGTCGCCCTCCGGTAAGCATGCGGATGTTAAGACACCTGTTGAAGGGTGGAGGTTTATTCAATACACCCATCTCTGCGATTGAAACTTGCCTAGTTCTATCAGGTTTTCTTAAGTTACATCATAGGAGTTTAGATACCACATCTGTTCATCGTGTTCTGTATTTTTCATCAGAACATTGGTTCCTTTTGTTGTAAAGTGGTATTCGCAAGGATCTACAGCAATCTGATCGAACCATTTACCTCCCCTAGAACAGTTGGTTATTTTCAGCTAAGGTAACAACGTAATTATATTCCTCCTCCTTAAGGTGGAGAGGAAATATTTCTATTTGTCTGAGAGATGAACCTCTTGCTACTTCAATACCCTTATCCATTGGTAGTATGATTTAGCCTTCAGACTCCACCATAGTGTAGACGGATAGCGGTGCTATGATCTTACTTTCTTTCATATGTCCTTACTAGTACAACAACTTCTACAGGAACATCATCCAGCTTTAATAAACTGTTTGGCTATTGGTATATACTAGCCCAAATATGGGTTATAGTGATGTTCTTTTTTATTATTTTCTGGGTGTTGTCCTTTAGGCATAAATTGAGTCAAGACTTTGCAAAGGTAACCGCCCAGTACTAGCCCAGTGTGATAATATTTATTACGACAGACTAAGGTAGTAATTCTTTTTATTTTACCTTAAATTATGTAAGTGTATGTTACTCTAACAAAATATTTCATGACTTCAATCTTATTATTATTGCTTGATTATTAACTTTATTTTAGCCAACAGCTGTTTGGTCTGTACATATTGTGGGTGCAGCACTGGCTTTTGGTGGTGGTTCATTATATTCACTCTGTGTCACGTATATAACATATAAATATCTTCGTTCTGGTCGTATTTGGATTACACGTTGCATATTATCACTTCTTACAACTGCATCATTCATCATACGTAAGATTTTCAACTTTTTGGTTATTTATGCCATATCACCGGAATACAGTTGATGTCTGATGGTATTAGATGGTTGGAAGCAATCGGCAGGAAGTCTTGGACCTAGGTTTCGTGCTAGTTGGCACTCGTCAGCAAGACGACTCATATCCCTTCTGAGATTCGAACCCGCCTCACCCAGTGCTGCAGTTGGAGACGTTACCACTGAGCCATTCGGGCTCGCGATTGACCTTCTGTAGGACTTTAGTGGATATTTTGATTTGATGTCTACAAGGTGTTTGGAGATTGTATTACACATTAGCTTGTGAAGATCCTTTTATGATCTAAATAGTCCCCATCTACTCATTCAGGACTGATCAGCTATGCTTCCATCCATTCATTTCACTTTCAATATGGCTGAAACTTTGCACTTATCACTTTAAATTTTTAGTAAACCTACTTTGGTATTGCCAATTATGTTAGTCACTCGTTTTCTCCTTGGCACTAGATGTACACTGTATGTGTTTGATTTGGTGTAATCTGACTGGATTGTTAGTCAGTTAATAATACGCATATTTTGAATTTTTTATCTGGAATTTCATTTTGTCCTAACTGTTCACAGTGTCATTATATGTGATTACGAGTGAGAATTAACTTTCTCTTCAATACAGTGTCATATGTAACAGAAAACAGACTTTAACCAATTGCCAAAAGGCATACGTTGGTATTTTGACACATTCCTTACCTGTCTGTCAGTATTCCCAATAACAGAATGAATAGGAATTCGTGGATTCTTGGATGCAAGTTGAATTTCTTTCCAGACAATTGCCCTGGATTCTCTATGATAATGATTGAAGACATACTTAAACTGCTTACATGTGTTATTTGAAAAGTAGCATTCTTTCGCACAATTACCCTCATTAAAAAGGAGGAATGAGGTTACCAAGTTCCCTTCTTGAAAATACTGCAACTGAAAAGAAGGGTATACTGATATCATCTGTAGCACTTGGTGACGCGAGCTCGAATCCCAGAAGGGACATGTATTCCTCTAAGGTTACTGATACACCTTGCTGACTGGTGAGTGCCGACTATCACGAAACCTAGGTCGAAGGCTTCCTGCTGACTGCCTCCAGCCATCTAATGTCAACAATTTAAAGTGCACCGTGATGGCGAGCCACCTAGATTGTTGACCACATTTCAGACTTGACTGATAGTATTCAGTTTGCACCAAACAAAGACCCATTTCATTAATTACTAACTAGTGTCCGATCAAAAGTGCAAAAATCTATTGATGTAATTGATTTTATGGAAGTAGAAGAAGGCAAAGGTGAACATGCGTTACAGTTATCTCAACTCACCTAACACCTCAATGCCTTATGTAAAAAATGTTCCACAAGTTGCCTGTATATAACAACTCAATGGGGAATAAACTAAGCCGACTTTCCCTCATCAAAACTAGTTCAGGAACTACTGAAAGACTATGGCCATGCTTTATATTCTGTTGTATTCTCTAAACGCCATAGTTTCTTTTGTGTAAATTATTAATTATTTTTGAAGTTAATAAAGCTTCTCGAAACAGTTATTGTAGTAGGGTTGTATGCAGTGTTTGTTGCGTATTATTCTATCGGATGACATTTTGACAGCAATTTAGTTATAATAGTCATATCGAAGTGAATTCTGTCTTCTTGTCTAAATTAAGTATTCATGACGGTTAAAGTGATAATGCCAGCCAGCTTCAAGTTTAAAGTGCGTAGGTTGGATAAGACTAACATCAACATCAACCACTTATGTACCTTAACTCATTTAGAGATTCTTTTTCGGTCTTGTTCCTTTCCGGATCACTGTATCGTTCTAAAAAGATGATTAGGATTCATGTAAAACAAACAGTCGCTTCAAACATTTTGCCATATGTAACAGTAGTTTTTCGTCTATCTGTTTTGACATGTCAGTGTCCACTGACTGACTAGCCATTAGAAGTTTCCATTCTGTAGATTTAGGTCTGTTATTGACTGAAAATTTAAGGATATATATTGAACGTTTTATCGTCTCGCCTGACAGATTTTTTATCCTCCTTTTGTCATTGTTCTTTAACTTATCTATAATTGTGTATGTTGATTGATTTGTGCTTTCGGTAAATACAATTTGTTAAATAAATTGGCAGGTTATATTCTGAAATGTCGATTTTACATGTTGCGTTTTGTTTAAAATAAATTAAAAGACTCTTGTAAAATTTTCAAAAGAATGGATACTGAACAAGAGTACTCTTTTCGATAAATTCATCATCAGGCTCTACATTTATACATACATTATAGTGAATGAATGAATGAATTAGTGTTATGAACAACATTAATGTTTAAATAACATCGAATCAATAATATTGATAGATTACAGCTAAATAACATCAACATAAAATAAGCTGAATGTCAGAAGAATTAGGAAAGATAATAGTACAAATTTTTCGTGCTCGAGAACATCTCTCAGCATGGCTAAGTAAGGGTGTAGTGAAAACTATTAACAGCTCAATATTGGAACATCTGGTAAAAACCGGCCACAAAGCCAGTGTAGAAGAATCCTTCTCTAAATTATACTGGGTGCCAAATAAATTGTCAAAATCATCGAAGCACCGCAGGCTGCAAACACCAGAGGCTATTACAATTCGCCTTAAACAACTAGCTCTGTGTGTCCAAAAGAAGCAAGTCCAGCCCCTACTATTGCTCTGGCCTTCAGTAGAAACTATAAACTCATGAATTTGTAATATTATCTTTCCTAATTCTTCTGACATTCAGCTTATTTTATGTTGATGCGATTCAGTTGTAATCTATCAAGATTATTGATTCGATGTTATTTAAACATTAATGTTGTTCATAACATTAACTAATTCATTCACTAAAATGTATGTATAAATGTAGAGCCTGATGATGAATTTATCGAAAAGAGTACTCTTTGTTCAGTATCCATTCTTTTTAAAATTCTAATGGGCATTTTTAATCATTTAAAATCTTGTAAAATTGTTTCTCCAGATATAGGATAGCTTCTTGACTATTATTTTTCATCATGTTTTGCAATTTTTGCTTTCACTGTTTTCATCACTGTGAATAAATGAAGAAAAAAACATATCTCTGCAGGATTATTACCAGCTGGTCTTATTTCGTGGATTTACCTCAACTGTGTACTTCTTTTTCTTTTTTAAACAGTGAATTCAAGTTATAAATAGGAACTATAAGCAACATAATTCCGAAAAAAAATGTAAGTAGATGAATTATTCAGTGTTAAGAGAGTAATTTTTTGGTTCGTGCGCTTTTTCGTATTTTGTTCTGCTGAGTAACATTGTACTTAATTTCGAGTATGATTTTCAATTACTGAATTGAACTGACTATTAAGTTTCCAAATCTATTTAATTGTTTTGGCTGTGTTATAATTTTACTTTACTATTCACTCTCATCCTCCTAAACTCTCTATCATAACATGTGTAAATTCTCTGTCTTGTTTTTCTTTTTTGTGTTGTACTTTGTCTCTAGTCAATCCTTGTTTTCAAGAGAAATGTGAACTCTAACCGCCTTTTCTAATTATATTATAAACAGTTACTCTTTTAACATCATATAATTCATCTGCTTACATTTTTTGTGGAATTACGGACGGAATATACAAATTGGATCATAGGAATTATTAAAAAGACGGTTGCAGTGAAAAAAATTTTCTTTTCCACGAAGTCATCAACTATATATACTTAAACTCATTTAGAGACTGGTTACAGGATTTCATCATGAGCTGACATTGGTTAGGGAACCATTGGAAAACCCACCAAGGAGTATTGGACAGCTGTTTCGTCCTAGTTTGGGACTCTTCATCAGCACGCACCCACCGGGGCTCGAACCCAGGACCTTCTGGTTACAAAGCGAGCTCGTAGGTAGTCACCTGGGGTTCTAGTGGAAAGTCGTGACCAGTAGGGTGCAGAAGGTCGGGTGTGAGGACAAATACTCGCCGAAGACATTGGCTAGCGGTTGCGCTATATCGTGAATTGGCAGAAGTTAGAATTCATGGACTGGCCATTGGACCAGGTCCCAGTAGCTTAATGGTATACGAGCTAGCTCGCCTTGTAACCAGAAGGTCTTGGGTTCGAACCCCGGTGGGTGCGTACTGTGAAGAGTCCCAAACTAGGAAGAAACAGCTGTCCGGTACTTCTTGGTGGGTTTTCTCTAACTGATGTCAGCTCATGATGAAATCCTGTAAATCCTGATCAACCAAATCCCTACAAACCAATACTTGAATATCGTTTAGAGATTCTTTTTCTGTCTTGTTCCTTTCCGAATCATTGTATCGTTCTAAAAAGATGATTAGGATACACGTGGAAAAAACAGTCACTCCAAACATTTTGTTATATGTTAAATACGATGGCATTTTAATTCCTAACTGTAACTTGATTAATTTGACCTTTGACCCGAAATTATTCTGAAACTTCCCCCCCCCCATTTATCATGAATACAAGGAATGTACAGCCTAGTTGATGACTTCGTGGAAAAGAAAGTTTTCTTCGCTGCAACCGTCTTTTTAATAATTTTTGGATTTATGTTACTTATACTTTCTATCTATAACTCGAAGTCACTGTTTGAAGAAAAAAGGATGTACACAGTTGTCGCGAATCCACGAAATAAGACGAGCTGGTAATTATCCTGCAGATATGTTTTCTTTCTTTATGCAAACCAATAAACAGGACTGGTTGTATGAAATTTCACCATTTTTCTCATCATATACCTGATGCACAAGAATGAATTGTATTAAATAGAATAGATATGGAATTATACCTACTCATAAAGTGATGACATTGTTGTGTAAATCATTTCAATCTCTAAAGAAAACCGGTTTTCAACTGAAAATTGTTACAAATTTTATGCAAACTGTTTTAGTTTACTTTGACTTAGGTGCCATTTTAAATAACGTCATTTGATACTTCATGAGGAAGTAAATTAGGTAAACGTTTCATGAGTATTTGCAGAACAGGTGAACTGTAAGCGGTACAATTGGTT